GTGTTTTATTTAGGAAATGGTCTCCAGTGCCAATGCGTTCAAGAGTGAGAAGCAGAAACTCTTAAACTTAGTGTATTACAAATTATGAGATGTTCTTTCTTTCTTTTTCTTTCTTTCTTTCTTTCTTTCTCTCTCTCTCTCTCTCTCTCTCTCTCTCTTTCTTTCTTTCTTTCTTCCTTTTATTTCTTTCTTCATTTCTTTCTTTCATTCTTTTGTAACACAAATTTTAAATAGTCTTATTAATAAAAAAAACAACCAGAGCCAGTCATTGGGGTGAAAGCTGAAAGAGGAGAGCAGCAGAGGAAGCCAGCCCCGAGTTCTTACCTCTATGAAATCCTCAGTCTTAAGACAGTGAGTTCCTGTTTCCTTGCGCCTTATATTCCTTTTTCTGCCCTGCCATCTTACTTCCTGGGGTTAAAGGCCTGTGTGCTTCCCAAGCAAAGGCATGAGATCTCAACTGTTGGGATTAAAGGTGTGTGCCACCATGCCTGGCTGTTCTCAGTTCTTGAACTCACAGAGATCCGGATAGCAATAGGATTAAGGGCGTGTACCATCACTGTCTGGCCTGTGTGTCTAATCTAGTGGCTGGCTCTGTCCTCTGATCCCCAAATAAGTTTTATTGGGGTATACAATATATCACCACATTCTTTTTTTTTTCTTTTGAGACAGGGTTTCTCTGTGTAGCTCTGGCTATCCGAGAACTCACTTTGTAGACCAGGCTGGCCACTGTCTCCCAATGCTGGGACTAAAGGCATGCTTGAGGTGTTATTCCATGTTGTGTTATGAAATAAAAGTTATGGATTGTAGCCAGTGCTAAAAAGAAATGGAAAATATTCAAATGCATTTATACACCTGGAGTATGTATTGTTTTGTGAAACTTTCTTTTCTTTTCTTTTCTTTTTTTTTTTTGAGACAGGGTCTTACTGTGTAGACCAAGCTGGCCTTGAACTAATAGACACCTATCTGCCTCTGCCTCTTAAATGCTGGGATTAAAGGTATATACCACCACACCTGGTGAAGATTTCATTTTAAATGTACTCATTTGTGGAATAGACTGCTGTGCAAAGCAGATTTCTTACTGCAAGGTATGATAAAATAGAGTGTGAAATAGACACATTCTGGGTGGAGGGGTGCAGATGGCAGGAGAAGATCCTTGTTCAGCATCAGTGTGTCATGTGACTCTTTATCTCTCTCTAGGTCTGTGCAACATTAGGGACCACTGGAGTCTGTGCGTTTGACAGGCTGTCAGAGCTGGGCCCTATCTGTAAGTATCTGTCCTCCTTGGCTAGGAAGGTAAGGGATAACGGTTGAAATATTTGCTGGAGCAAGAGCCTGAGACCAGCTCCACTGAATTATTCTCATTGGTCAGTTTGGTGATGAAAGGAGGGAGGGAAATCATCAAAGGTCGTGAGAGTCACCCCCCAGCAGGTCAAGGTCACTGGGCTTTTCCTATTGGTGAGACGAAAGCTGGAAATGCTGTGTTTTCCGTTCTGTCCTAGGAAGGAAACATCAGTCAGCTTCTCCCCTGCTGTAACCAATAGTGAAATCATAAAGATATAATGGAATTTCAGATAATGAGATTATAAAGAGAAAGGGTTTATTTTGGCGAACAGTTTTGGAGGCTTCCAGTCCACCATCAGCTGGCCCTGTCACTGTCACCGCTGGGCCCAGAGTGAGGCACCAAATGTGGTGTACGTTGGAGCAAAAGCAATCAACAACATCAGGGAAGGAGGGAGGGGAGGAGATCAGCATCCCGCCATTTCTTCAAACCACACCCAGTGACCTCCCAATAGGCTCTACCTCGTAAAGGCTTCCCTCCCAGCATAGCTACCCTGTGGAACAAGCTTTTAACACAAGAGCCCTTAGGGGACCTGGGACAGCCAGTCTGTGGCAGAGTCAAAGCAGGCTCTGTTTAAAACATAAAATCTATATAGAGATAAGGAGGTGGCAATGGCTGCTTCAGCTCCACCTCCTCATACCAAGGCCCCGTCATCTCATCTCAGCAACTCTTGCTGACTCCTTTAGCAGAATACACCATCCTTTTCCAGGGCTTCTCTTTGCAGCCTGCCATGGCGTGGGCTAGGTGAGCAATGCCCTCCAGTTGGCCGGTAGTAGCTCTTTCAGGCCCCCTCTTCTAGCCAATGACATCTGCTTTCTCAGGTGCCAGTGAGGGGCTGTGGCTCCACGTGGATGCTGCTTATGCTGGGACAGCCTTTCTGTGCCCTGAGCTGCGGGGATTCCTGAAGGGTATCGAGTATGCTGACTCCTTCACTTTTAATCCCTCCAAATGGATGATGGTACACTTTGACTGTACTGGGTTCTGGTGAGTCGGGCTCTGGGCATGGGGAAAGGCCTTGCTTCCTTAGAGAGACCTCAGCCACCGCTAATACCTGCTTGGCAACCCACAGGGTTAAGGACAAGTACAAGTTGCAGCAGACGTTCAGCGTGAACCCCGTCTACCTCAGACATGCCAACTCTGGGGCCACCACAGACTTCATGGTGAGTTTCCGGGAATGAGCAGCCTGTGGCCTCTCAGGTGGGGACTATGGACTGACCCCCGAGGTTGTGAATGGCTGCTCCCTTCAGAGGCAGCAAGCTAGGAGTTCATCACATAGTTTGCCACTGGATACCCTTGCTTTCAAGTTGTGCACAAGCACACAGAATGAAATACAGAAAATGAGACAAACAAAACAAAATAAAAAAGAAACAACCCCCCCCCAACAAAACAAAACAAAAAACAAAAACCTCCCAAAAAACAAAACCCTAGAAAAATCAATTCCTAAATCTTTTTGGCTTGTTTTCCTCCCAGAAGTGTTCTCTCTACCACAAGTAGGTTAGCTCTTTTTACCATCTTTGGCTGGTGTTTGTTTGTTTTTTTGCTTGCAGGAGAGTGTGGACCATTTCCTTGGGTGGGAAAGAGGCTCCGTGTTAAACGTCTTTCATGCCGCTGTCTTTGACATAGACCCCGCAGGAGCTCTGTGGGAGAGAGCCTCTGGCCTTCCCACTGCCTGCCCCTCCACTCTTTCAGGCTTAGGCCCTCGGCGCATACCGTGCCTTAGGAAAGCAAGTTCTTCAGATTTACTCTTCACTTTGAAGATGAGCCCTTCGTTTTTAGGCGGGATTAGGATGTAAATAAACATGTTGCATATCACATGGCTAGTGAAAGGTTTGAAAAGAGAAGACGATGTGCTTGGCTTGGCATTCTGTGCATCGGCACTCATTTGGGAAACTGTTGAAAATCCGCACCTCGGGAACATGGCACTGACTTCATAGGAGTTTGTGAGGCTTTCATGGGAACATACATGTCAGAACAGTGTCTGAGCGGCAAAAGCTTGATAATTAGTATGCATGAAATTCCAGAAAGGTCTTCTCATAAGTTGCAGGGGTTTGCTGTTGCAACATGGCTAAACACACACGCGCTGAGGCTGGATTGCCTGTGCTTGGAGCCTGCTTCTCCTCTGACTGGCTGAGGGGCTCTGGACAAACGGCTTGCACTCTGTCCAGGTTTCTGTCTCTGTCAATGGAGACAGGATCGGTTCTGCCTTCTAAGCTTGCTGTGAGAATGGAATGAATTAATACAGTGACACATGGACAGTGAAGCCTGGTGACCTTGGGGAAGGGCTGGCATATTTTTCTCCTTAGATAGTGGAAGTGCCTTTTCCTTTGATTTAGTTCTGTATCAGAGGCACCATCCTCACTTGGTCACACTCATGATTCTTCTGTGAAGACATTTCCTTAAGGTTTAGGAAGGCTTTGGGGTTGCAGGCAGTAAGCTTACAGTGTGGAGGGAAGACCTTCTAGAGGAGAATAAAAATAGATGGCCTCTTGCCCTTTCTGGTCAAAAAATTTAAGTAAACAACAACAATTGAGTGCTACAACTGTCAGTCAATCCTGCCTGTGAAATGATGCCTATGATTTCAGGAGTTTAGTTGGACTTGGAACTTCTCATCCTGACTCCACTCCCAAATGCTGGAATCACAGGATATGCCAGCTGGCATCACAGGGGAATGCCATCATGCCCAGTCTATTCAGCGCTGGGGATCAGATCAGGACCTCACGCACACTGAGCAAGTGGGCCCCTGCTGGGTTCTTGAAGGCCTGCTGTTATTTTTGTGATTTTTAGCAGCCTCAGTGTACCTTCAAGTACATGTACCTTAAGTCCCAATGTGGTCTGAGGACCACTAATAATGTTTTCTTAGAAAGAGCTGAATCTCTGAGAATGTCTTTCTCTTGGCTGGTTTGGGAAACTTCCATCACGGTATCACTGTGGGATCAAGCGGATTTATTTTTCAAGCATATGAAGAAAGCTTCTCCAGAGCAATGAGGCTGCGCTCTTTGTCTTGGTCCTCAAGCTCTTAGAGCTGCTCCAAGCTTCTTTGCACCCAAGGGGCTACAGTTTTGAGTAGAAGCCAAGTCCAGCTCTGAGAGGACCTAGACACATTACAGTGCTCCAGGTGTTTACTTTGGGGGAGGGGACCTCTGGAGCCATCTGGAATCAGGGCCTCTGTCTCTGCCATCCATGAAGTTCCCCCGAACTTCATTCTATACCTCTCCAAGGGCAGAGAGCACCAACAGCAGGGAGGCCCATAAAGCCTTGAGGAGACACAGAGGATGCTGGGAGACATCTCTAGTTAAGGAAGTTCCATGCCAGTCTTTATGAACCCAAACTTCCCAACCCAGCAGAAACTGGCTAAGACAGTCTCTGGGTCCGTATGGTTTGATTTTAGCAGAGTGATAAGAACTGGAATGGACATCACAAGGAGACCACAGCTGGAACCCTCCCTACCTTTCCCTAGGTGGTTAGTTTACCGTAATCTAGAAACGGGCATGGTTTAGAGGGAGAGTCCAGCACCCACTTGTTATCCTGTGAATGTCCTGAGGACAAGGCTGTGGCAAGGATTTTGTCCTTTCCTAAGGTTTTGATGCCCTCTGCTGGCTGACAAAGGTCCTTGAGCTGGCCTTCCACTGGACAAGCTTTTCTTGGAAATCAAAGGTTTCCTTCCTTCCTTCCTTCCTTCCTTCCTTCCTTCCTTCCTTCCTTCCTTCCTTCCTTCCTTCCTTCCTTCCTTCCTTTCTCCCTCCCTCTCTCCCTCTCTCCCTCCTTCCCTTTCTTTTCTTCTTCCTTTCTTTCGAAAGGGTCTTTCTGTGTAGCCCTGGCTGTCTGGAGCTTGATGTATAGACCAGGCTGGTCTCAAACTCACAGACCTGCCTCTGCCTCTCCAGTGCTGGGATTAAATGCGTGTGTCACCACGCTGGGGAATCTAGTGCTTTCTCGAAGGACACATAGCATCCTTGATATGGGGTGATACCCCAGCTGTGTCTGGCCTGGGAAACTAGAGTGGAGCATGAAGATGAGTACATCAGTGAAGACCTGGCAAACTCCATGGAGAGTGGCAGATGAATATTCAACAGGATGGATATTTTTAGGGAGCAGAGATGTTGGTGGAGGCTTTCTGGCATTTGAGGGGGCACTTGGGAGAAGCCACGTTGCTCATTAGAACGACTGCAAATGTCCCCCAAACTGTGTGCGCTGTTTTCAGATCTGAGACATTGGATTGGAAATGTTCAGATCTATGGTAACTGCAACTTTGAACTTAAAGCTCTGTTGAATTTGGTACCAGGGAAATATCAACTTCAGCCCGAGGCAGAGGTTCATACGCTCATTTGCAATCTGAACGCTTGAGTGGTGTGCATCTGGAGCTACAGGAATCTCCCAGGCAAAAGCCAGAAGGTGGCAGCGAGGTTAAGTGAGGACCATCTTGGTGCCAGACAGAGACACAGCTGTAATATTTAAATCACATGCCCATCATCTCAACAGCCCACACTGACTGGACGATTTCCTCTGAGTTTTTGCATCCATTGTTCCTGAACCATTTCCTGGGAAGTGCCTTTTGTTTTATGCCATTGATGTGTCAGTGAGGGAGCCCTGCCAAAGTCACACAGTGTAAGGGGCAGGCAGAGCTGGAGGGAAACCCAGGTCTCTCAGGCCCCAGTGTCTGAGCTCTTTATCACTGTACTTTAAGCCACTATCCATGTTGAGAAGAACAGACCTAGAACTTTAATTTCTGCTAGTCAAGGAGCTTGCCTCGAGTTTCTAGGCTGGAATGAAATACTTAAGCAGCAGTTGAAGTGAGGCGCCACCCTCGGTTCCAGGTCACAGGCTTGATTTCCATTTGTCCCGCTCTCTGTGGAGTGCCACCGTGATAACTTGTCTTGGTTTGCTCCTTAGCGACCGCTTTGGGAGTCATGGCGACACCATGGGTCCCAGGAGGGCTGGGCAGGCAGCGCATAATGCTAAGAGCGCCCAAGGGACTGGGCACCTTGCTTCTAACCATGAGCCCTGTGTTATTTGTTCCCAGCACTGGCAGATCCCCCTGAGTCGGCGCTTTCGCTCCATTAAGCTCTGGTTCGTGATTCGGTCCTTCGGGGTGAAGAATCTTCAAGCACATGTCAGACACGTATGTTGTAGGGCCGTGGGACCCAGCCCGGGCTGCTTTGCGTTTTCACGGGAAGGAAGACTTGTTTCGGTTTTACACATCGGCCCAGGGGATCCTTGGTGTCTGGCTCAGGTGGTAGGACCGGTAGAGGAGCTTCTGGGAGTTGATGATTGGTTGTCTGGAGGAGAGCCGAGCATCACGCAATCCCAGCGGACTGTCTGTGATTTGTAGCTCGCATTGTTCATCGTCTAAACAGGCAACACTAAGCACAGCTTCCTTTGCGTTTTTTTGCATCCCCTGTCGTATCACTTCCCTGAGTGTTTCACCTTTCCTGTTGCTGTCTTTGAGAAATGAGTGGAGGCTCAAAAGCCTCGTTTGCAGAAAAGAGAAAGTGAAAGCAGGCCAAAGGGCAGCGTGTAGGGTCAAGCATGATCATGCCTTTTTTTTTTTTTTTTTCTTTTTTTCCCCGGTTAAGGGGTGGGGAAAATACCATGATTGTCACAGCTGGTTGAAAATTATGGTCACTATTACGGTGACATCTGAAACCTAGCTTTCCCCACTTGCAGAGCGTCCTTACGACCCCGCCCCTGCATTGTGTGTGACAGCAGAAATTTACTGAAGGCCTGGTGGTTGATTTTTTTTTCTCCAGTTCAATTTAATAACAACACAATTACTGTGTAGTAAAGAGACTCAGAGTTAAGTGACCTGGGCACTCATGTTCTTCGTGGAAAAGACACTCAGCTGAGAACTCGGCCTAGCAGTATTTCTCAACAACCGGGTTAACTCAAAGACACAATTTTTCTTTCAACCACTCGGTGTGTCTTTGCCTTATCACCTTTTTCCTAGGGAAATTTCTTAATTCTCCAATGAACAAGAACAAAGGGAAATGGCAAAGGTAGTACCTGGACTGGCCAATGAGCGGTTGCCACCTAGCATTCATTCTCCTGCCCTTCCTCTGTCTTCAGACTCACGAATGGAGGGTAGGGGGTGGGAATGGAGACGATGGAGGTGATAGGAATTTCTTTTGCCTGAAGCTTGGGATTGAATATTCAACTGGTCAACCTTCCCTACACTGCCTTTGGCTCGCCCTTGGGTTCCCACCACTGCCCTACGATTTTACCACACCAGCCCACACCTTGGGTCTGCTTTATTTTCATTGTCAGCCTGCGCCTTAGCTGGGGCATTTCACGGACACATCCAAACTCCAAACCCAGCCTACAGCTGCGCCCGACCCTGCCCTTCTTTCCAAATGGTGTCAAGTTCGACTTCCCCAGAAGTCTCTCTGAGCGCTCCCCCTCTTCTGCCTCTGTGGCATCCCCAGGGACACCTGGTCAAGCACATTTAAAGGACCCAGAGCAAAAAGCCCTGGGATGATGAGCATTGAGTTAAAACGCAGCTGTTTGGCACGAGCTAATTTATCTCTTGAAGTTGCTTGTGATTAAATTATCACTTGTATAGCACTTTAAAGAGCCCATACCACCCACTCTTTGTTGGAGTCTTGAGGTGGCTGGTCACCCAGATCAAGTGAGACTCACAGACAGGAATTGCTTTGCTCAAGAGTGGGAGTCCCGGGGCTTGACTGCAACCTTCCCAGTTCCAAGCCCTTTTATTCTTTATGGTTCTTGCTGCCCTTAACTGTGCCGAGCTCTTGAAGCCAGGTTCTATGAACCCACGTTTTGCATCTCCATGCTGTAGAGTGGTGCTTTAGAGATGTGAATTTTAGTTTTACCCCTTCTTGAGTCTGGACAGATAGATCTTCCTGTATTTGCTTTATTGGACCTACAAAATGATGTGGTAGCACCATTCTCAAAGGTTCAATGAGACAGTACACATGCAGGTTTTAGCATTAAAAATCAAGTATTCCTCCACTTCTAGGATTTCATTTTCTTTTTTTTTTTTTTT